CGCACCAAACCTACAGCAGGTACCCGCTCGCTGGGGGGGACGGGGCCCGGCCCGTCTCGTCTCGCCGTGAGGGGAGAGGGCTCCGGCGTGAGTCCTCCTGAGGGGAGGGAGCCTCGGCTGTTCAGGGCAGTGTTTGATACCGCTATTAAATTAATTAATCGTGAGGAGAGCGGCTCCCACTGCTCTCTGGAGAAAGCTGCAGTGGTATGCGGTGGGTCCCCAGAGCACTGTTACCTCCCCCCTGCTACGATTGAGGTATCCCCTGAGGAGCGAAGTTCCTTGGAGATAGCTCATAGTAGAAAGTAACGAGGTTAGCTCATTGCAAAAAAAGAAGGCGAAGTGACTGAATATCCTTCAGGAATAACTGCTACACCCGCTTCAGAAAGATTTACGCTGTGTCATTACAGGAAAGGGGGAAGGCTGCAGATGGGCTCTGGAGATCACCATGCACTGAACCTCCTGAAGCTGACCAAAGGGGAGCTCAGTCTCTGGAAAGCACTGTGCTGTATTCCCTATCAGTATCCCACTTACCCTAGTCTCAAAGTGCTCATGGGTACAGCAGGGAGAATTGGGCTTGGTCACTGAGGGTGCATCTTAGCTCTAAGGGTCCAGAAGAAACCTGTCTCCTCCTTCCTTCTCTCCAGTTTGCAAGGTGAATATTGGTCCTGCCTGCAAGTCTTGAGGAGACAGCAGAAGAGCTTAATCTGGAAGTCTGGAGGCAAAGACATTTAATGCTCTAAATTACCCAGGGCTTGTTAAAACAGTAGGCATAGAGCTTTTCTCAGCATCTGCTATTAGGGCCAGACTTTTACTGGTGAACAGTACTTGATAGCACCAATGTCTGAAGAGCAAATGCTTATATAGCCAGAGAAATAAGGAAACTAAAGTCTTAAACACAAATCCCATCTGAGAGGCCTCTTAGTTGCTATCCTTTCTCTGAATCAAGTTATTAACACATAAATTATTGTGAATAAATCTGATTATTTTGCTTTGGCTGTGTACCTGTAGGGTTTGCATGATAATTTGCTTTAGCAAAGTTTTCAACTTGGTTGTTGTAAAGTTTTGGCTGTCAGAAATAGACAAGGAGCAGACTGGGAGTACATTCTGAAGAAATACTTCTTTTCTGGTACTAACCCTCAGAAATGTTCTGTATCTTTCTACCACAACTCATTTCATCTAATCTAGGTCTATCAAAATTGGTTCAAAGATGCTGCTATGGAATGGCTGACTATATTAGCTGTTAATCTGAGTTGAATTTCTGCTGTGTGGATGGAGTCCCTTACTAAAGGCACTGCCAGTCTTCGGACAGATCAGTGTCTGCATATGCTGTATCGATGTCCAAAGAGTGGACATGGAATTGGAATTGCTTTCCATTGGAGATAACCTCTTCAAGAGAGTTATTTACAGTCTTGGATTGTCGAGACTTAAGAGTCAGTCATCTGTGCTGTCTGCTGAAAACTTAACTGCTGCATTAATCTGAGTGTAACTTTTCATTGTCCTTCATTTGCCCTAAGTGAATTTTGGTAGCTATTACCATAAGAGTCTTCATACATTGCTAAAGCCGCTTTATTGTGTTCATGTTCAGAGTTTTCAGAATGACTTCCTTGGTTGACATGCCCCTGGATTATGAAAAGATGTTTGCTCATCGATTCACATCAGATGATAAAGAGTACCAAGAATATCTGAAACGCCCTGCAGATCCCCCTCCTATAGTTGAAGAATGGAGAAACAGATCTGGTGGCAGTCAGAGAAACAGAGATCGGTACTGATTTATTTTTTTTTTATCTTGGTAGTTTCACAAATGTATAGTTAAATGTTCACTTATTTTAGAAGACAGTCCCCTAGTCTAGGGGATCCTGCTCTGGCAGGGGGGTTGGACTAGATGATCTTTTGAGGTTCCTTCCAACTCCTAAGATTCTGTGATTCTGTGACAGTTAGGAATTTGTTCTGTTAAATGAAGTATTTTCTTGTTAATTCGTAGATATGATTAAGAGAAATAATCTTTGAAAATTAATGAGGTTTTACATTTTGTCTGTATTGATCGTCAAAGTTCTTGTGTATAAAAGTATTAAGTATTTTGCTTTCTAGTAAGGAATGAGCTGGAACCACTGAACCCATTGCTTTGGGATCTGTTACTGCTCAGCCAGGGACATTTTTCTGGAGAGGAAAGATAAGAGTTGTGCAAAACTAAGCCTATCTTCTGTTGAATAATAACCGGCAGGAAAATGTGTGAAGGAACAGGCTAATAATGTGATTATCTGTTGCAAGCTGTCTAGAAAAACATTTCATTTGTAACCTAAACATTTGCTGTACTTCGTGACATTAGCCTGTATTTCTTTTACCTAGTAGAAATGACTGTAAAATCCATCATCTCTGTCTAGCAAGTGCAGTGTCACCTGCCTACTGCAAAATACTTTGAATTATTTTTTCAGGATGTAATTGCAGCTTTTTACTGAATTCTGGACAGTAGCTTCTGATTTTTGTGTGACTGAAAAGCAATGATTACAGAATATAGTATGTTTGGTAATACTGACATTAGCCTTTAATATAAAGTTGTTAAACTAACAATTGGGAAGACTTCTTAGCGAACTATCCAAGATAATAAATTAATAAATTACTGTAGGTATGGTTTCATCAGTTTGACACAAAAACAGGTAAGTAATTGAGTGTATAAACAGTTTCATGGCAGTTTTAATGAAAACTGTAAAACTTAAGAGTTTCTTATCATTCATCTTTTTAAAAACTCACAATTTATGTGAATCTTTGACATGTTTCTTCATTGCAGGTTTCAAGATGGTAGATATTTTAGAGGGGACAGATACAACTGGCAAGGTGACTATAGATCGAATCAGAGGCCAGAGAGAGGTTGGGGTAATAACTACCAGCAGCACAGACAAGGACAATCGTACTCTTCCCACTATGGACAATATGGCTACAACTCCTACAACCCAGGGCCTCGTTACCATCCCTACTGATGATGCTTGTGGTTTGAATGTCCAGTCATGCTGTGTTACAAACTCCGTTAGACTTCAGTTTTCTTTTTTTTCCACAGTTTTATAGATAACTGAATAGTTGGTGTTACAGTCCATTGCTGTATATCTATAGTGTAGATTGAAAAAGGGAATACCTTTTGTGAATAATACAAGCATATTGTAGTTTGTTTAGAGTCTGTAGATCTTAGATTAAATTTCTGTCTCATACTCTTTTGTCTGAATACATCCTAATACACTTTTCTTCCATGACTGAGATTTCTCTCTGTTAGATTTTAGGAAACACAAGAGGTCAGGGGGAAAATAGCTGTGGGTTGTGTGCAGCCTGTAGCCATGGCACATTGCCTTAAGATAGTTCTTTTTGAAAGTGACACACTGTGTCTTTCTCTGGAGAGATTTTCTTAGTTTGACTTTTGATAGTGATAAAAGCTCAGTTTGGTTTGAATTTCAGATGCCTTAAAACTGAGAAGAGAGATGCTATGACAAGAATATTTTATGGAGTTGGTATTGTGTCTGTTGACTCAGTAGCTTCAATTTATTTGCAGTATCCCTCTTAAAACATGATCTGAAAGTGGGAATAAAAATCAAGTAGTTTAAGTATGTATCTTCTTATTGTAGTAGTTCAGTGATACACAAGCATTACCTGAGAAGTGATATTAAACTTAGATTAACTTGTACCATCTTAAAATAAATTTGGTATGTGCATAACAAATTTTGGAACTCCCATTTCAGTAAAGCTGTAAAATTTTGATGAGAACTGTAACTAGTTTGTATGAAATACTCTCTGCATGTTGTAGAAGAAAGGAACCATCATCAGTCCTGTTCTGTACTTTCTTGCATGAGAAAATAGCATGAGCAGTGCCAAGTGTTACTCAGTTCTTAAAATTGAAGTTCTGTGAGTTTTTTTTAATATCCACACAATAAAAGTACAGTTCACATGTAAGGATGTTTCTGAATATTTCTGAAAACTACATTTGAAACACTCAGAATGGCAGCACTCATCTAGGCTGACAGCTGCAGAAGCAGCAGCACTGACAGAGAAGTGTTGATACTGGACAGCTGTTGGTTTAAGTTAGAATAATGGCCTACTCAGCTGCAGTCAAGAGGATGAGACACATGGTGATTAATTAGAAGTCTGGAGTATTAATCCATTATCTTACATGCTGCTCTAATAGGGTCAAAGTTCTCTACTTCACCATTTACATAAGCTGTCAGAACAGCAGTGCATTTCTTCGTATGTGACATTTTCTTCGGCTGTTGTACAGAAAAACAGAATCATCCATGCTGGCTGTTGCAAAAGTCATGATGCACATCATGACATGATGTGATAAGGAGTGCAAATTAGTGCATCTTGATTTAAAAACAAAGACTAAATATAGAAGTCAAAAGCACACTCTCCCAGCTTTTAAGATGTTTTTAAGAGCTAAAGAGTATGTTTACTGTTGATCTTGGAAACACACACTGTACAGAGGGTTTACATTTACATTTAGGTTTTAGTCTGTGATACAAGAGCTGTGACACAAGTGTCTCCACCTGCTAAGTATTTCTGGCTTCTGCTTTTCATATAATATTGTTAACTCTGATACACTTTTTAATATCCTACTCCCTGAAGTATTTGCCTTGAATTAAGTTGTTTAACCTTACAAACCTTTTAGTGAGAAGTCTCTTTTTCTTTAAGGAGTTCTATGGGATGAAATGCACCCTTTTTAACCCTCATGAATATGGAGAAGCTGCTACACTGGGGGATATCAGATCATGCAAAGTTCTTACCTGTGCAAGTTATCATGGTGGAATTCCCTTTCAATGCAGAACCACATTCACAGTATCAGATATCCCAGACTCCCACCTCAGGAAGGGAGCGTGTCTCTTTCTGCAGAGAGCCCAACACTGCCAGCTACGCCACGGAAGTCAGGCTGTGCCAGGATGTTGTCCTTCCTTACCATCTGGAGCAGCATCTCAGGTTGAAATAAAACCTGGCAAAAGGAACGGATTCGGTCTCGTCTGTTGCCTTTCCTCAAGCCCAATAATTTTTAGTGTCTTTCCACTAGTGAATAAAGAATCTACAACACTGTGACCAAGCTGTAGAAGCAGATAGATTGGGATGTCTTGAGTGGAAGTTATGACTTGAGAATGACACATTTCATGATCTCAGCTCTCTGGTTCTGAGCTTCTTGACTGAGACCAGGAGAGACACAGGCCAGTGCAGCCTCCCGGGTTCTGTCTTTATATTCTTGACTCCATCCTTACCATTAGAGCTTTCAATTAAACTTTAAGCACCTGTATGATTTACAAAGCTCTTCCTTGGAACTATTATGGCAAGAATAATTTTTGAGGGGAAGACATTTCTAAATAATGCATGCACTGGACAGAAAGGTAAACACAATTCAGTATGTATTACTTCCAGCAGTTTCCACATGGATGAAGTTGTATTTATTATAAAGTCCAGTTTATTTCTGTCAAGCTGAATAAAACCAGTAAGTATTGCCTGTAAAAATGGTTTGTGCATTACAGATTAAAAAAAAAAGTTAACATTTAAATGACTTCAAACACGACAGAAATTGTTTGCTTTAACTATGCTGGAGATTTCAGGGTAAATATTAAAATTCAGTGTCTGGAATCTGACTTTAAGAGATCTCTTCCATCTGACATTTGCTCAGACATCATTATTATGAATAAAACAAAAGATAAATGTTACGTATTAAAAAATGACTGCCACATTGCCAAGAGTTTGAACACCCCAGAAGTTCTGAATACGGCGCTTGCAGCAGTTCCAAATCTGTTCCTGAACACGCACAGCAATTTTGTATGTACTGAAGAATTATCATGCTAAATTACAGGTGCTGTGGCAAACAACTAAGAAAACTCGGTAGCTTTTATACAGTCTCTTAACTAGCAGTTAAAAAAATGCTAAGCCTTGAAATACTTGAAGGCAGAAGCAAGTACATAGGAAAAAAAATCTTGGTGTGATTTGTGAGACATTTTTACAAGTGTTCACTGCTATTGAGCCTCTATTTTATCCTAGCTCTGCAGCTGGGAATAGAAATGTGCAGACGTGCTTTGAAATGTTAGAAGCTGAACTACTTTCAAGAGGCTCTCTGGGAGAGATTTCAGATGGAGAAGACAAGTGTCATTTCTGATACACATATAATCAACATTTAACTTCTAGAACAAAAAATGTATTTAATATCCTACTGTTTAAATATATTTGACTATATTGCAGCAGTTTGAATATATTTAAACTCATACTATTAACTTGCTAATAAATACTCTGCTTAACCACAAGACATGTTCCCGTTTGCTTCTTATGCTGCTTACACAGATGCTGGAAGGAAAATTCTTTTTTTATCAAATTTAAATTAAGGTTTTGCCTGCCACCACCTTTTCCTTAGAGGAAAAAAAATATCACTGAAATACATAACTCCGGGTGAATTTTGTTAGGTGATTCAACTTGTACACTCACAATTGTGAGTGAGCCTGGAACAGGCTGCCCAGGGAGGTGGTGGAGTCACCATCCCTGGATGTGTTTAAAGAGCGGGCAGACGAGGTACTTAGGGATATGGTTTAGGGGGTAGACAGGAGTGGTTGGACGTGATGATCTCAGAGGGCTTTTCCAACCGAGCGATTCTGTGATTCTGTAATTTCTCCAACCCTGACAAACAAGAGGGAGTAGGAGCAGGGAGCAAGAAGGAAAGGAAACAGGACTGCTGTTCTCTGAGCAGCCGAGAGACTGAGACTGAGACTGCTACAGGAGCAATTTAACAAAACTGCACCTCCCTTGCCTTTCATTTGCCAATCAGGAAAAATTACTATAATCTGTCACCTTGTCCCTGTATGTTAGAAGAGAGCTGCATAACTCTGCTTAAACTATGCACTGATATTCTAATGAGAGGCTAAGCAAGATTTCAGGGCAGATCAGGTTTTCTGGAAAGTACCTAGGAAATATGCAGCCTGATTCGAGACACACGGATGTAAATCCTAGAGATCAAAACAGACTCCAGTGGCTCCAGCACTACCAGGAGAGTAAATGGCAACTGTACTATGGTGGTGCACAAAGATCTTGCCTCTAAAGGATTATTTTTTTCATTAGGCCCCACAGGCTGGAATTTATTTTTGTGTTTACCATGGCCTATATTTTTCTTCAGTAAAGCGCGGACTGCACTTGCTGGATGTCAGTCCTCATTTGCTTATGTGAAACACTGATGCCAAAGTTATTTCTACATAGCTCAGCCCCTGACTTTGTAAGTACTCTCTCCTATTAAAATGCAAATTTATTTCAAGAGATGGTAAAAGTTGGTAATAACCACATTTTCCTGTAAGTCTAATAAACACACAACAAGCTAATTCATCCCCAATGATGTAACGAGCAGGAATAGAAATGAACCTTGTCTTTTTCCTAACACACAGATGCATATTTTTCAAGTAATACTTCAACAGCTGGATCACTTTTTTTTTCCCCCAATAGTATGGGTTGGCTTCTTTTTCTGCATATTAAGTAATTCAAACCTTGCTTCACTAATAAAAAATGAATCACTATCAAGTATCAAAGCTGCTCTTGCTCATTGAAGAGAAAAACCTCATCTATTCAAAAGATGAGTTAAAGTTAAGAAAACAACTTAGCTATTTGTTACAGAACTACAAAAATAACCAAGGCCCAACCTTATTTATGAAAAAATAAATCTTTCAGCTGAAACATGTTACATGCCTCTTCTTTGTGAAGAAAGACAATGTGGTATTTATACACCCACATAAATTAAATAGTTACGATTATAATTAGTACTGTTGAGATAAAGGTTAAAAAAGCAAGCATACTATAAGAAGTTTTGTACAGCTTTTGGCCACCATATTCCAAGTTTAACATGATCATAGCTGATCAGAAAGCAGATGCTTTTTGTCCAAAGTCATGGCTGAAGTGCCTTTCTGAGGAAATCCTTGAAATGGTACATTTTCCATTATTATATTTCTAGTATTATATTTCTATTAGTCAATACAAATAAACTAATAGTAATACTTGCCAAGTGCAACCAGCCTCAAACTATTACATATTCTTTTTACAAAATGAAAAGAAATTTTCCATAGCAAAGGCCCTGTGTTTTAGTTTTACCCTTCTATACTCATCAAGTCACCTCGATATATGAATGCTACTGAGACCGAAAACTGAAGTACATTTAAGAATACTGCTTCAGTGGCTTCACTAATATGAGCATTTAAATACAGCAAACAAAACCTCTAGGAGTTTAGATCAGTTTAGTGCAAGTGCTCTGTGTGGACACATGCTCTCCTCAGACCAAGCCCATGTTACTCATTTATAAGCCACGTACTCTAAACGCCTGCTCTGACGTGATGGAGCACCTAGCTTGGGGTACACACAGCCTCTTCTAAACCCCAGCTGCATCTAAAATGCTATAAGAACATAAAGGAGCTTAACCTTAAATTGCCAGGGGGCAAATCCTATTTCCCCAACCCTGCAGCTCAGAGG